AGAACCTCGCTTTGTATGTCTCCCTCCTCCAGTGCTCCACATTTCCAAATACTAAACCAAGACTGAATTACTGCACTATAAAATGAGTTGAACCCGCCATGACCTGAAGACTGGTTCAGTTTACAGCCAAGTCCATAATCCAGAAAGCATGAAGGATCGGCAAGGGGAAGAGAAATAAAAGCACTGAGCAGAAGGAGTCAGCAGGTAGTCCTTAACAGTCAGCTAATCATGTTGAATAATTTATTACAGCAATGCCACTGAGACTCCACTAGCTTTTAAACCAATATTTCCTGGAAATGTTTTCTGCTCCTCTTGTATCATTTGTAAATTTGAAATCATTTATCCCTGTCTGCAATGCAAAGATGTTTGCAAAGGTCTTAGGAAATGCTGCTGTTCCAAGAAAAGCCCAATTAGACATGAGTCCAGTACATTGTCTCTGACCTCACTTGATTCTAGATGCTCTAGGGAAAGGCCAGCCCTTTCTGAATACACCCTGTGGCTCAGTGGCATGCCAGGGAGAGGAGCGTTACACATGCTCCATGCTTCTGACAGCGGAAACCAACTAGCTGCCAAATCAAACACCCTCCTCGAACATAAGGGTTTATAACCCCTCCCAAAATCCTGTTTAAAAACACCCAATTCAATGTTAAAACTCCAAATGGAGGGTCACACTTTTTGTCCTATCTTCAACCCTTCTAAGCTCTTGATCTCTATTTTATCATGTGGCAAGGAGATATGCAAGTGAGTTGGGTTCCCCGTAACTGATTTGAATTTCATGTTTCTTTTGCCTTTTTGATTGTCCTGATGTTCTGTGATCAGTCAGGACAGAGACCAATTTTTCAGCTTCCTCCTCCCCATCGTTCACTGGTTTCTGTATATTTCACATCAATCCCTACTTTATGTTTTTTTAAGTTACTAGTCTGTCAGTCCTTCACCACAGGAAGCACTAGTTTAACCACTCCATCAATGCAATTACTGACTTTACAATGCTTCATTATGCCCTAAAGCAGAGAGGATCTCTATTTGTTCTGCAATAAAGCAGCTCTTAATTAGTCTATTGCTCCTCCTGTGTAAATATCTCATTTCGCCTCTGGAATTGGGGCAAGTTCACTCTATCTCTTGCTGTTTGGAAAAGACCAAGTGACATCAAAACAGCAATCTTTCATTTTCTGGACAAAATTAATGTGCTAATTACTTTGCTCATGCTGCCATCAAGCAGGTGATTTCTCTCTGATCAGACACTTAAAGCTACTGATTTTACTTGTGCTTTGTATTGCTTGGTAGGGTCCAACTCAGCTCTTGTTTTTGTATATCTAAATGGGAAGTCAATCCATTACCGTTGCTTTAGATTCACAACAATACTACAAATTAGATTCTTCTGTAATGAGAAACCACAAAGCATTGTGGAGACCTTATGGCAAGGGACAGAATATTTTCATAGCATGCTTCATTTCATATCCAAGAAAGAATAACACTGGGAAGAAATGACAGAAACCGGTGTTTGGCTGTCACAGGGAAAATCTTTGTCAAGCTGCATTCACAGCTGAATTTTGGGATACCTCACATTTTATCTTGTTTCCAAAAGTCTTTATTCCCCTTGGGTTCTCTTCAGTCAACCAAAGAATGCAAACACTGATAACGTTTATGAGTCTGAGAAAGAAGGCTCACCTTAAGTTTTGTTGCCACTAGCCTTCTGTAGTAGAAAATGAGATAACGCTATATAGAGAGGTATTTCTTGCAAAGCAGCCAAACACTACCAGACTTTCCTTGAAGGTAATTTTATTTTTGGTGATAAGTTAAACAATTTCTTTGTTTATTTGTTGTATGGAAGTCCTTTGGCTGACTTTGTTAATCATTCACTCTCCAGCTTGGGGCTAACTGTTTACTAACTGTTAAGCTGTGTGCATTAAAAGATGCCTTTCGGCTCTTAAATCAGTGAGAGTATCTCACTAGAACAACGGAGATGTGCCTAGTGCTACTACAACTGTTTGGGCATGTTGGTCTCAGCTCCAGGCTGTGACACTTCTACTTCATGTACAGGTCTCTTGGGATGGAGTGGAGTTACATCCCTGCCTGCTGGTTAAAATGAACAAACACCACTCAGACAATATCATCATGAAGGGGGGCTGCAATGCCTTGCTCCTTCTTTCCAATTGCTCTGCAATGCAAGCAAAAAAACCCTAATGACCCTTCTTTGCAAACGATGGTTTTGGTCACTACAGCCTCAGCAGCTTGTGGGAGAGTGGTGCTGGCACATCTGATCTGAAGACCTGGTTCCAAAGAATTTGCTTTGGTTTCTCATGAATATTGAATGGTGCTGACTCAAGATGGATAGAGCCCAGGAGGATGATGACTCCTTTTTGTTGTGCTTTTTCAAGGCACGCCAAGCCTCAGAGGGCCTTTTCTTTTCACAGGGTAGATTTTCTAGAAGCTAAGTCTAATATAGAGGGAGATGGATTCTGCCTATCCTGGATGCTGTGCCTTGCTGCTACAAAAAATGATACTGGTTCTTCAAGCCACTACTAAACTTCCAGAATGCCTCAGCATATGGATAGCCGGTCAGCAGCCATCTTTCCACACTTGATACTCCTTTCTTCTTGTCCAGCTGCAGTTACGGATTTTGTGAGGTATACCAAAACCTTTGCATTTATTTAATACCTAAGAATGAACAGCTGTCAGATCATAAATGGTATGGATTAAATCTTGGTTCAAACAGGCAACATTCTTGCTGAATCTGTGAGTTAGCCCCTGAACATACAGGAGAACAACAGAAAGGAGAACAATAAGCCTCAAACTGATGGCTTTGGGTAGCTTCAGGGCTTCCACAGAATTCAAGCGTTGGCAGGAGGGAACATAAAAATGGAAGCACGGAGTCACATTAGGCTCTGCAGCCCAGCACAAGATGCACTGCAGTTTAATAGCCCTGCATTCCCATCTGAACCACCTCGTACTAGGTGCCAGATACCCATCTCAGCTGCATCCCCAGTAATACTGCAGGATGTATGCCCGAGTGAGAATAGCGCAAGCAAGATCAGGTTCTGGCCCTGCGTCAGCCTCAGTTCTCCTTTCTGGACTCATCCAACTTGCTGACAAACCTGGTTAGTTTTCTAGAGACACATGGCTGATTTACTCCAGCAATTTAATAAAAACGTGGTTTTGACTGACTGCTAATGGGATCGCCTGAGATAGGCTCAGCTGCTTAGTGTGGGTTACAGTTTTACTTGCAAACACAATAAGCATGGAAATCTATCTAGGATGACATAATAGGAAAACATTACAATCTCCCTTATAAGACAAGCAAGGGTTTTGTATGCATTTAATATAAATGTCTTGGTTTCAGCTAGTTTCTTGCTACAATTTTCTGCTTGTGTTTCTTCCAGGGAGATTTATTTTTCCATTGTAATTTTTCAATTTGTTTCTGGCATTGGCAACGTGCAGAAACAAAATAATAAAGATCAGAAAAGACATAATCTCTTTCCCCCTTCCCCCGCTAATTTTACCTTGCAGAAAGGGCAGTAAGGTTTACCCGTCCCCTTTGCACAGCAAAGACTTGAACCAGCCCATGCTGGTATAGTGAAATGAATCAGATACTATGGTAAGCTCCCAGATACCAGCGTTATCAAGTGCAATTTTACAATCTAATTAACAGAGGATTAAACATTGCACCTCGCTGAGGCAGTTGAGCTGCTCTCGCCAGAGGGGTTTTACCACCTGTGTAGCGTAATAAGTCTTTTTACTTGCTCTGCAGAGGGTAGAAGCACTCGATGGAGAAATAATGAAGCTTCAGCCACTCTATCCAAGTCCTGTCCCTGATTTAGGTTGTGCATTTTGGAATAGCTCTGCCAACAGATGGGGTTTGAAAGCATCATGTAACAGAGAAATGCTCATCTAGGCTGTCTTTTCACTGCTGTGGTCTCTGGATTATGGCAATGGACAAATTCTAGTCTGGAAATTTCTGGTCTCCCTTCCCACCCAGATTTATGACCACTTCTGCTAAGCCACAGAAGTTCTCAGTGGTTTATACATAAGATAGCACCATTGTTTCGGGTCTTCTGGATTTCATCCATAATTTGTTGAGATTAAAAAAAAAAAAAAAATCCCAACAAAGAGAAAACTAGCACCCTGTTTTTTGGGTTAGACTACAGAAAAAGGGTAGGAGATGCCTAAGGCACCCGATTCAAGGGGCAATGTGAGAACTAGAGGTAGGTTAGTGGGGACACAGAGAAGCTGGCCAAGATATTATCAAACTCTAAAATGAATGCTACAGACCAAATCACTCCAAGCAGCTGAGAAGTAGAGAAAGTAGAGAAGCTGAGAAAGGAGGCTTGACTCTTCTAGTAGAAACAACCATCTTCTCTCATGGTGTCAGAGTACCTGACCTCCCTTCTTTCTTCTGATGCTTTCCAGCAACCCTCTCATCCCATCAGGGTTGATAAAAATTGCTATAACTTGTCAATGGCTGAGTCCTGTCATGGCAGGGCATTATTTTCCTCAAAAAAAAATGTTTCTATTACTAAGACTGACTTCTGAAGGCATCTTTTAAGGACATGTCTTCCCTGGGGGGGTTGGCACAAATGGAGATATGTGGGTGCAAACACCTAGCCTAGGCATGTTTTAGACTATCACGTGTGAGAATGGCTTGCCCTGCAGGTAATGATTGATCCCAAATAGGTGTGTCTTTTAGAGCACAGATGCTCTGTGAAGACCTCCTTACTCCCCTCATCCTTTCCTTCAAGGAATAAAAAACACCATTAGTAGCCTTCAGTGACTAAAAAGCTAATCAATGCACCTATTATTTCCTGCCCATACCACAACATTTAATAAATTAAGAGCTACTTTTGTCCATTAATTATTTGCAGACATTCAGACAAGTTTGGGAGAAAATTAATATCCTTCAAAATCACGTTAATTAATGCCAGAGTTTGGCATACATCACACACTGAAATCAAGCTATAACATGTATGGCAAGCCCAGACCTTGATAGAAAAGTAAACACTTACCTTTCTTGGTTTCACTTTGTCATGATAGTCATATTGAAAAATCCCCTTGTAGCTAAGTCCTAACCACCAAGGAATTCCCTGCTTGTCCTGGAAGAGAAAAGAGAGGGAGTTTTATTAAACGGGATGGAGAAATTCTGGAGATTTCCTAGGTTGTTATTCAAGGTGAAAATTTGTTTCTAAGCAATACCTTTGGATATCATGGGTGCTGTTAAATTTACTCCTGCTGAATTTCCTCAAGTCACAAAGCTCCATGGTGTTTAGGAGAGATCTGTTTCATTTTTGGCCATAACATATAAAACAATTGAAAATGCATCATGTGATCAGGTTACTTAAAATGCTGATAGGGGAGGTGATGAGGTTTGACATGGGTCCCTTGTGCAGTGGTGCATCCTCTTTCTCTTCCCTGTAAATTATTCAGTCTGAACACTGAGATTGGAGAGGAGGGAAAGTGAATCACCCAGCTGACTTGAATTATGTGGAGGGATTTTAGCATTCATCTTGAAAATGCAGCAGTAATGGGATCTGAGAGCTACCAAGTGATAAGGTCTGACAGGCTTGGACCCAACTGCTTTGTGTCTGAGTGTGCAGTAAAATGGCCTTATGGAGTATAATAGCTGATATCTGATACCAGCCTCTTTGCAATTTACTGAACTGGAGTCCTCAATGAAATTACATCTGTTCTGTTAATGTGATAGAGAATGGCAGAGTAAAATGCAGCAAAACCAAAGCCCCCACATCAGGCAGAAGCAAAACCTATTATGTGCAATATCTGCTGCCTCATTGCCGCTCACTGGTACTTATTGATCATGGGGAGTTCACTGGAATAGCTTTCAGGTGTTTGCAGGCTTGAACACCCAGCCCAATCCACCAGATCTCTCTTGGTCAAGAGTAGTCTAAGAGATCTGGATGGAAAGGGTGCTGGAGGGATCCTGCCCTCTCGCAAAAGATGAGGCTAATGTTTTTCACAAAATGTCAGCACGTTAGCAGGAATAGACTAGAAACACATCTCCCTGAGACAGGTACTGTCAGATATTTGTGTTTTTATGGTACCCTATGTGTGCAAGATTTTACAGACATATGAAAAACTGTATGATCTGTGCACTGAGATAATGATGAAACACATCAAGACTTCAGGGGTGATAAATGAGGGAATATGCTTGGGGATTATAGATCTAGCTTTCTTCATATGTTTATTGATTTATCTGCTTAAAAAAAATAACAAACCCTACACAGCTGGTCAGGCAAGGAAGTAATAATAGTAAAAGTAACAACAACAACAATAATGATAATAGACTGGAAAGTTTGGTGATAAATCATTAGACAAAAAAAATAAGCAATTTAATGAATACCTGCATGAAATCCACATAGTGAGAAGTGGAGAAATGTTTGGGGAGATATGTTATCTCTAGGGTATGGGCCAATGATTTGGCATTAAAAAGATGTACTCTATCTGTATCCATCTACCTCTATCTCAAGTGAAAGGAGTTACAGTTTGCAGGTCATGGCTGGCCCTAGTTAGTTGCTCATGGATCTGCAGTCTGAGAAAAATCTGACTTCCTGGAACTACAAAAAGGAGTGAAGCATTGAGTCTGCCAGCGATGTGGCTAGCTTGTCCCTTCAGTGCTGGTTCCCTGGAATTACCAGAGCCTGTGGGCTGAACATCTCCAGCACAATAGAACTGCAAGAGTTTTATCTCCAAGAACAGGATTTTCCTCTTTGTATTTACCAAACATTCACTACACTGTTGAAGTAAGTTTATCCGACCACAGGAAGTGAAACGAGACTTTAGTAGCAGTGTATTGTATTCTGAAAGCAGGACGGTTATTTGTATTTTTCTCCCTCCGGCTCCAACAACAGTTTCATTCAATAAATGACCCTTTTTTGCAGCACGTACCTTTACTGCGTAATAATGTACTCCGTATGTTGGGAGCGATTCTACAATGCTCATGTAACTGCAAAACAACACATAAGAGAATAACGAGGCTGAGAGGATGATCTGAAAAAAAAAGCTTTAATAAATAAATAATTAAGTACATAAATACTTAAAAATAAAGCATTAGATGAGATGGGAGACATAATTACATATTGTATTTACAGTCCAATGTACATACTTCCTGATAAAACAAAGGTCACAAGAAGTCACTCTTATTTCACTTACTTCACAATTGCTTGACCTCTTGTCTGACCATTTAGTTTCTTGTAATGTTCAATGACTCGATCCTCACTGGAAAGGAAGAAATGAGATGTTTTATATAATGGCAGTATCATGACCAAGAATCTTGCCAAAAAGTGAAGAAGTACTTCTGTAAACACAGCTACAGACTGAGGGAATTAAAAGATGCCAAGCAAAAGTTAGGTGAGGGGATTTGATGCAGCCTAAGGTAAACAAGGAGGACTCACAGACTCAGAATAAAAATGGATTTGTAAGAGCTGGCTTTCTGGAAGGACCCTTTTTGCTCACAAACACAATATCTATGTGTACAGACTTTTTCCTCTCTGAGTTACTTTCCTTATCTACAAGCAGTGCTCATGATATTACATTGTGTGGCAAACAGATGTATGTTGGAGCTGCTCAAGCTCTGCTTTGTCCTAGCTGGTCCAACTTCTTTCCAAGCCCATCAAGTTCTCTGAAAGATAGCAAAGCTTTCAGAAATTGGTGGCCAGTAATAGCCCTAAACCTCACAGGTTACTCCTCACTGCAACTGCACAAAGCCATGTACAGGACCACTACTGGAAGTTACTCTGGAGATACCTCTCTCAGCAAGAAGTTGAATTCCTAGTGTACACAGAGGCAATGTCTCTAACAGCAGGTTAAACTGTGCCAGTGAATGTTTCCAAGGCACTCAAACTTGGGTCCTTTCACTGTTAAAGTACTGATGTGTCTTTGCATACTTCTGGGTTATACAAACTTTCATTCCCTAAGGCAGTTCCTGGCTATGCACTGGGAGTTAGCCTGGGCCAGAGCCCATTCCCAGCACTGCTTTGGAGACCAGGATAGTTTCATGGTATAGATGGATGCTGTTTCACACCAGTGGGCCTCTGTGTCAGAGAACAGTTCTGGGTGTGTTTGATGAATGCATGTTGAGGCATTCACCTATACACGGTAGAGATGAAGCATCCAAGAGCCGATCAACATGACCCAAATGATAGACTGAGAGATATCTGTAAGTTCACTTTTAAAGATTCTCATTCCTTCTTCTCCAGTGACTAGGTAGCAGGAGAGCACAGAACCAGAGCTATTTGATGCATACAGTCAGCTGTGCTAGTGAGGTCACAGCATGACAATGTGATCTCCTTTCAGAGGTTCACAGTGCTCTCTGATTTCAGTAGCATTCCTCTCAATCTATGGCCATGCAAGTCATCACAGCCTCCAAGCCTGGTACTTTTGGACTGGTCTGACTTTGGTTCTTCCCTGACTTCCAGCCATGTAACACCCACAGGACCAGCTCTGTTACAATGGCATGACAGAATACTCCAGCCTGCAAGTTTAAGCCAAATCTCTTGCTCTTTATGTTGCAACACCAAGGATTAGGAATCTGTTGAGTCCCTCTGAGATACTGTACACACCTTGACAGTCCAAGAGCAAGGAAGCCTAAACTACCTTTAAGCCACCTTTGTGCCCTCCCCACCTGGCACTGCGTAAGCTTCCAGTAATACCAAGTGTCTAATGCCATCATGCTGCATGTGGTTTAGGCTGATGTGAACTGGCATTCCTCCCTCCTTGCATTTCCTAGGTCCAGCTGGGGCCCCTAATGGGGCTGTTAAAGGCAGCCACATGGTTGTCCACCATGCGGTAACTCTTCCCAGGCGGAACCGAAGCTTTTTTTATTGCTAGACAGTGTGAAAGAGCACAGCAGTGTGGGATGGTCTGGTAGATGGCCACAACTGCTCAGAGATGCCCATGGGGACTTCTGTGGAAAACTGCAAAGCATTTCACTAGCCCTGCTAACACAATTCTGTTTTCTCATTGCTGCCTTCCCCATACACAGCCTTGTGCCAGACAGATTTGTGTGGAGCCAGAATCTCTCTAGAGAGAAGTAGTTCATCTGTTCCTGCTGGGCCCAGCCTTCATAATGCTCTCAGTGGTGTCACAGGTAGAGGCTACACAGAACCCGCTGTGACATCACACACAGGATGTTCTGTTTTGTGACATCACAAGGAGGACACACTGCACTGTGACATGACAGGCAAAACATGCTATGCACAGATGGGGCATAGAGCCTGGCACAGGGGAGCTGAGGACTGTGCATCCACCCCTGGTGCTGCTGGGAGGACGGGAGAGGAACGGAAACACCAGTGTAGACAGAACAGTGCAATTCAAAGTAGACAGTCTGGCGGATTGTCAGCAGGGCCAGCTGTTCCCCCACAGGCCTGTCATTTGTCTGAGAGTAACTGCTTTCCTTACTCACCAAGTGACTTCTCCCACTCATTCTGAAAAAATAAAAGGGCTCTTTTTGGGGCAAGGTGAAGCAATGTCCCACCAGTAGGCCATTGCATGCACAGGGTGCTGACTGAGTCAGTGACAAATTACACGGGTAAAGGAATGGTCCAGCTTTTCTGTCAAATCCCTCAGAATAATTTTAATGTTTCAAAAATTATCTGTAAGCTGTAAATTCAACAGCTATGAAACCATATTCAGCCCACTGATCCAAGCAAGTACCGCAGATGTTATGGGCGTGCACATGAAGGCAGAGCCTGGGTCTCCTGCCATGATTATCATAAACAGGATTACTTTTGGAGCAATAACCGAATTACATGAGTGTTCAGTACTGGAAGATCTCCAAAACCCATCGTTCTTAATAAAAAAGATAGACAGAGAGGGCTTACAGCCCTTTGAAATTACCTAAAACCATGATTACATGTGGATGCAATTCCTCTCCGTCTCAGACAGGAACAAACCAGGAGTGACTTCTCAGAAAACAATGCAGTCTCTCCCGTGGAAAACACTCTTAGCTTTGGTTTCCATTCTGCCGTTTATTTTACAGATCAAGCTCTCATATTGATGCCATTCAAGGAAAGGATAGATGTACTTACATACTGACTATTTAATGTGATTCTGGATGTGCTCTGCTTTCTTACAAAAGATTATTAGGAAATAATGGATATGTTCCAAGACCATACCCCTTGGGTAGGGAAGCCCATCGATGGCCCATTTCCTTCAAAAGGACAGATGAGATGTCAGGGAACCTTCCTGAACAGTGGGATGAATAAAGTTATGTTCTCATCCCATACTAAAAGATGTGGGATAGTCCAGGCTCTTACCCAGTACTCCTAAACAAATGCAGGCAACACTCTATACCTCCATTGCCTCATTAGGGTACCGATGACCTTCTTTTCCATTGTATAATGTTTTGATGTCTACAGATGTTAAGTGCCAGATAATATCATCCTTGTTTCTACTTTGGGACAAAAAAAAATAAAGCCTGTTTATCAGTTGAGCCATGAATATTTAAGAGTGGGATATGCTGCCTTTCACCTTTCTACAACACTGAGCTAGTCACATTTTGGGGAAAGAAACAGAAAGTCTAGAGCACGATTCATCCTGACAGCAAAGGGACCTGAAGGCACCTAGCTTAGATGGGGAGGTCTACATTGAAGAAACGTTCATGGCCAGATGAATCCCACCCCCAGCTGTGTGACAGTCGCTTCTCTAACAGTTCTTTGAACTTCCTTTTCATTCTCTGTGCTCTGTGCAAGAAGAGATCATCCAGCACAGAGGTCGCTTTCTGCCTCCAGCTCTGGGACAGAGGGGTAAGCCCAGCATGTGCCAGGGGAAACAAGCAAAATCATTCACGGGTCAGAAGGAGCATTAGCGGAGCTTATAAATGTTCTCCCTTATCATTTCAGCTGTTCATCTGTGAGTGGCTGCCATGCTGCTATTGACAGCTGGGAGAGTGCTGGGACGCTGCCTGGACCACCAGCTGACGTCTCCTCTCCCCCAGCTCTGGCTTGTGGTGTGTCCGTGCCACAGAAACTCAGTCATAACGCAGGGCTGACAGAGGATGCTTAACTAATGTGGAGACACAGAGGCTGCTGAAGCACTACCATCTGTTTGCCAGCTCACAAAATATTCCCCCCAAAGCTGCAAAAATTAGTACCTGGATGATATCCTGCAGCGGACAACTGATAAAAATCTTTAGAACTACTAAGAAATCCCTCCTGTCCCATCAGTTTATAGAACTGGATGGCAGACAATGTGCAAGCAAATGCAGGGCCAGAGTTTCTCATCATCAGATTCAGATTTTCAAGAGTAATTGTTTCCCCCCTATCTTGCCAGCACACTGAACTGTTTTAAATAGCTGTCTACCCATTGCTGCGCTTTACTGTTGCTCTGTTTCTAACTGCTGTCCACCGTGATTATATACTTGAACTTACTAATGTCTTTATTTGCAGTCATATGCTGTCCCACCAAAGCTAGCAGAGCATCTCTTAGGGAAAAAGGACCGAGAGCAGGATTAGAGCCTCAGGTCTGTATTGTATTAGAGAAGCTAAATAGTGATTTTCAGCTGATATTTTGACGTGAATTTTCTGGCAATGCTGATGCTTTAGGTTAAGCTTGCATTCAAAGTCTGTTGGAACCTGGGAGAAGTCCGTCTTCTCCCTGGTCTCCTGAAAATTCCATTCTAGCACCCAGTTTTGTGCTGCTGCATCTCCTCTATGCATTCTTACTGGAAACCTAGTACTGGGGCTGGCTTACTGGAGAGAATCTGAGTTGAGATAAAATGGAATGACATGGCTGGAAAGGAACACTGTGAACTAACACAGGTTCTCTCCTGCCTTATCGTGATTAGTTTTGTGTCTAAAATAACAAATGCTGTCAGTTGTTTCCATGCATGGGCAAGAGAAATCAAAACTCAGGGCTGCAGTTCCTGGACTGTGTGGGAGGAACAGAAGCTCTGCTTTGATTTAAAAGAAAAAAAGAAAAACAAACTCCTTCTTGCTTCACCTGTAATCAGTGATGCTAAGAGATGCTTAAGAACAAGATATGCAACTGATCCTTAATCTGTAGAGAGCTGGAAACATAAACTTGATGATATAAAAACTACAACCTTCATCTTTTTTGTGATGTCTACAAACCTACAAGAAGAGGTTACAGTGATGGGAAAGGCCTGCAGCAAGAGTATACAACCAGGACACTGCATGACAGTGGAGCCAGAGGCACCGAACTACTGATTCAGCCAGCCCTTGCTGCATCTAAGAATACAGGACTCATCTTGCTGGTCTTACTACGTTAGACAGGAGCAACAGGTGATGCTTTTTCATGGTGTGTGATGGAAATGTTATATTATTCATGAACATCTATCATAGTATCTTGCTGAAACTATCATAGTATTTACTTTATCCATTTTATTGCCTCTTAGTTCATTTCAGCCTATACAAATATATAGCACAAGGTTTGTTTGTTTGTTTTAAAATAACTAGAGCAATTACCCATCCCACCCTTAATGTTTTAAATGTTTCTTTTCTGGAGCTGGAAATTCACTTGTTTCTGCTTTGTGCTAGTGCTGAAGAACTGCAGCATAAAACTGATTGCACACAGAAAGGAACAGGATGATATCTGTATCCAGTATGTAATCTGCATGAGATGCAGAAGCATCAGAAAACAGTTTTAAAAATCTGCCCTCTTAGATCACGGAAGTTTGATCTGTACTTCAGAGGCTTTTTGTCTGATTGATAAGCAGCCTTTTCTTGAGAGCATTCAGCATTTCGAGAGTGTTTATGAAAAAGCCACCATTAAAAAATAATGAACTACTGATGTATGAGGTTTCTGAGACCTGGTTACTGAAGTGAAATCACAAGGGAGTCACAGGACTGTAGCCACTGGTTTTATTACCCCATTGGAAACAACCAGCTTCCTGACCTGAGACCTGTTCTCAGTCACATGGGAGCTCCCACAAAATTAAGTACAGCTGGAAGAAGTGCTGTACCTTGTGTATAACTGTAAATACTTGCATTCTGAGCATGAGGTTTTCTTGCTCAGGTGACATGGCTCTTCTTGCTTTGGGACTGAACATAGCCCAAATCCAAGGAGGGTGTCTTATGGACAGAGATGGTCCCAGACCTCTCTGAGATTTCCCAGAAGAAGTCCTTAACGTAGGCATGTTGACTAACACTTGCTGATAGTGGGGGCAGACAGATCCTGCTGGGCAGATGGGGCCTGACAGGCAGTCTGGGTTGTCACTGCTTTCCTGTGTATGGACACCATCACAGGCAACTGAAGCAAAGGCTGTGTGGGCACTCTAGTAAGGCCTCAGTCCATGTTGCTGCTGAAGGGTCAGATCTGCCTTCCTTGTCCATGGCTACTTGTTCCCACCACTCCTCTTGTGGTGGCTGTTAGCTGGAGCTACCAGGCTGTCAGTCAGACCAGGCCACAGATCTGGTTGGAAATGCACTGCTTTTCAGTGTGTGGGTTAGTTTGTGGAAAAAGGAAAGAGGTGCTCCAAAGAGGGAGGCCATTCTTCTTCCAGTGAAATGGCAGCCTACATTTATCAATTTTTCATAAAGACTTGGTTTGGTTTTTACACAGAAACACCAGGAGACTGTGATGATCCCCAGCTTTTGTGTCAGTGTTTCTAATCTCAGCCAAAGACTCCAAGTCTCTCCTGATGTGCTCAGAAAGTGATTAGGAGACCTCATAGACTAGTTTGCCTACAGCTTGACACAAGGTACAGCTAATTCTGGTATTGTAGCCGTGCTAAGAAAAGTGGATGGCCTTCCTGGCAAAGGGAAGCATTGAGCTCATGAACTACAAACTGATTTGTTTCCTCTTGCTATCCTCAGATTATCAAGATGCAGAAATTAAAAGAGTAGTAGATACAGAAGTTCACTCCCACCCCCAGGCTTCTAGCCTAATGCTTAAAAGGCAAACATGAAAGAGGAACAAGCAGAAAATCAAGTGAAAGCATCTCCCCATTAATGAACAGTCTTTCCCCAAATTCTTTCCTATTTGCATAGATAACAGGGGTAGGCAGGGTGGCACAAAGAATCTATGTGTGGGGCATACAAAATTTAACTGTGACTGCTTCTACCCTGGATTTAATTTTCAGTGCAATAAAGACAGAGCTCCCAAGCTTCTACCTCCAAACATCACCTAGTTCATGTAGAAGGAGAAAAATATCCCTATTAATTCAGCTATGCGATATAGAGAGCACTTGCAAGATGAAGCTCGATCACTCAAAAATAACACAGAGCAGTACAAAACATTGACATTTCAAATTGGGAAAACTCTGCACAGATGTAAAGTGCTGTGAAGGGAAATGGCACATTATGCCTCTTGATTTCATCAGGACACTTGCACTTTTACAGTGAATTTTCTGGCCAGATATTACTGCAGCCATTTGTCAGACAGGGAATCTGAGGCCCAGGGTGGTAGCTCTACTTGTGCTGAATCATGCAATGGGTCAGTGGCGGACCCTGAGCTAGAAGGTAGGAATCCCTGCATCCCAGTTCCACTCTCAGATCACTTATTGCCAGAGCCAGGTCCTGGGTAAGACACTGCAGAGCTGATCAGCAGAGTGATACATTACCAGTAAGCGAGGGAAGGATGCTCCTTCAGTGCTGGCGTTGGAAGGGCTGGCAGCTTCTTTAATTCATTCCTTACAACTTCATTGCTGAAAGAGAGTTCAAAAGGAGGATCAGGCTACAAGAAAACAACCACAGTATTTGATATGAGCTGACCTAGCTGGCAGGCTGATATGGCTCTACATCTGTTCCTCCTTAACCAAAGGCATGGGGGTTTCCTTTTTCTTCTCTGTTTTATGGCAGCCCAGTTAACTTTTCCCTCTGTTATCACAATTGGAGAGAAGCTATCCCAGATGTTTATGTTGAAGCCCTTCCTACCTGTGACTGGACACAAAAGCCAGCATGTTACATGTCACTGAGCAGGGTCCCACGAACATATTCATACACAGAAAAAAGCAAGGGGAAGAGAAGAAAATGCAATAAAGCACCTTTATTTAGCGTCTCACAGCCTGCTCCGAAAAGTAATGATTTGCTTTCCTAGCATCACAGGTTTTAGCCTCTTGCCCCAGTGACCTGGCCTTTGCACACCATTTTCACTGATAAGACTCCAGCTTGAATTTACGTCCTGCTGCACAAAAACCTCTGTGGGACTAAGCCCAACCACTTGGCTAACATTCTCCTCCCTGCAACTTTTAGTGGCCACACTGGCCAGCTGGAGCAGCATCACTGCACACCAGTGAGCAGGGAGAGCTCATGAAACAGGCGGCAGATTCTTGCCGATGAAATGAAACCACGGGATTTTCTCCTACAAACCCAAAATACCTCCCTTCCCACATTTAAACACACAAGGAATTGTGTGCACATGAAAACAAATCCCTCAAAGTCTTGGGAAGGAAGGAAGTGTTGCTGTTACTTTTAAAATCATGGAAATACACAGCCAAGAGGGCAAGACAGGGCACTGAGTAGTGCCAAAGAATTAATGTTTATTGGCTTACTTCTTAATAGCACTTTTTTTTCTCTCTTCTAGTACCCTGCCCTTTACCCTGCCAAAAACTGTGGCTGTCCTTGAGCTGTGGAGAAAGATATCTCTTCCAGAGCTCCATATTTCCCAGGCCACTGGCTTCTACTGTAGGGCAGCAGGGCCATTAACCAGGCAGGCAGGTAGTCTTGGCATTCCGGGATGTAGACCAGCCATCCTAACAGCTGCTAATGGTCCAAGGAGCCCTTGGACATTCCAGGTCACCCTGAGTTTTGTTCTTGTCTCTGAGACGATCCGTATGGTGGCTCATAGAGATGTGATACTGCTTCAGTTGTTGTAAAGGTCTTCCCACAGCATTTCTCCATTTGCACATCCCAGCAGCAGGCTCTGCCTGAGACCTAGGTGGGTTTGCCTTAATTGGAGTTTGCAGATTAATTACTAGGTTGGACCATAGAGTAAACCACTGACATAAATCCTGGAGCAGTCATTTTGGGTATGTCTACAGGCATTTTTTATGGTAGTTCCCTGATGATCAATTAAGTAGTTTTAAAAGAGGACCACAACTTCTTGTCAAAACAAATCTACGACAGAGGTGTTCAAGTCTCAATTAGGTTCAGATTTTGCAGAGTGAAGATGTATAAAACAGCACTTATGACTAAGGCAACCACTTCCATGCTAAGCATATAGAAAACCATTCCACAGCACCTCATATGCCAAGGCAAATGACTCTTGACAGACAGTGTTTGAACACCCACTCCTGCCTAAATCCCATGGTCATTTGACCATCAGATAGATCTTCCTTTGTAAGTGCAAATGCTCAAAAACTATTCAGATTTTTTCTTCCACAGCAGGTAAATATCTGCACAAGTCTGAACAAGAAGCTGCTCTGTTCTGTGTTATCTGCTGATCTGGCTGCTCTGTTCTGTGACTGACAGCCTAGAAAACAAGATGTTGATGTTTACAGAGTTTACTGGGTCTGCCCAGGGACATCTCCTCCACAGCATGTGCATACTCAGCTCTTACTGAGCTTTTTGACATTTTGAAAGAAACTGGGAAAAAAAAAAAAAGAACCTCACACAATCGGAGCACAAGCAGCAGTCACTGCCCCCAAGTGAAGATTTTTTGAGGCTGGCTGCTCATAGAAGGAAGTTGAGAAATTTCCAAAACTTTTCTGGGAAAACGGGGAGTAATTTCCAAACTGGGACTTTCTGAGCCCAGAAAACTGTCAAATAGGGCAACATTAGTGGTGACTAAGTATCTTTGAGAGTCTGGGAAAAAGCCTGAATCAGTAATGGCTCCCATAAAAGAAAGGGCTAACACCAGTCAGCTCCATCTTTTCTGTCAGTGTGAGGAGCAAAGCTTGCTTGCACTGTGATAAAAAGTCTTTTAAGAATTGGAGAAAAAGACATTCTTAGTGATGTTGTTGGATGGGATTAGCATTTCTGCTCAGTACCTAGAAAATACCATAAAGGTAGTGCCTCACAACTTCGGAGCGCCAAATGTATTTCAGGTAATCACTTCCAAGAACAAAAAGGCATTTCATTCCTTGGTCCATATATTCACTGTCTTCTGGCAAGACTTGTCTCAAGACAAATGAATTTACCCTCCCAAAAGGATGTCAAATCAAGAAAAAGGAAAAAAAATAATGATTCAGGTTGAACTAGTGGCCATGAGGTCCCTTTCCTCTTGGATACTTTTAAAACACCAAACCCCTTAATTTTTAAAATGTTTCCAGCAGGATCACAAAAGGTTTTGTACTTACTGCCTTTCCCGCTCTTTCCAGTGAAATATCTCAGTGTGTTTATTTTATTACTGTATTTAGAAAGTGTTTGTTTAATCTGGTCATTTGTGCTGCATTTATTTTATATTTGAAAGTGTCCAACCTTCAGGGTTGTTGTATGTGGAAGGGTCCTTTTGATATAGATTTATTAATATGCAGGAGAAGGGCTCCAAACACACTTTCTCTGTGTTCTCTAGACCACTTCATTCCTGCACTATGGTGGAAATTATAATATCTAAAAGACTGAATAACAATATGAAAACTGAACTGGGAAAGTCATATGCATGGGTTCCTCAAAGCTGGTTAGATATCCAGAAATAAGGTCGACTGGCTGGAGAATGGACCTGGAAAACAGAACTGAGTTTTGGTCTTAGTTCTAGTACTGCCCATTTAATGAGTCTTGGCCAAAGAGATTAGTCACCACATCACAGTATTTCTATCTACACATGGGGATAAAAGGCCTACTTAGCCACTTCATAAGCATTTTGTGAAAAACAAGTTTTTGCAAACTGGCTGCAATAATTTTGAACAAGATTACATATGTAGTTGTCTCAGGCAATCCATACACTTTCCAGCATGTGTAATAACAATGATCAGTAACAAAACAAAACTGCAGGTTAAAGGTATCAGCTGCTCTCAGCATGGTAATTCATTCTGTTGAATGCAAGAAGAAATGCAGAGTCTGAGATTCTCGGATTAAATGGTACCATTTGAAATACAGATTCTAGGATCTTCTCTATAATGTTACAAGAAGGCAGTCTGGATTTTGTAACCCCTTAACAAATTCTAATTGGCTAAGTGTCACTGGGTTACACAGAAAGAAAAGTAAGCCTGAAACTATGTTAGATTACCATCTGTCCAAACGTTGAAATTATTGTGAAATTCTGCTTAACAGGAAACTGGCTGTTTGCTTTCCTTCTTTGTTATTCTTTCATATGTTGCTGGGAGATACGTGGAATTCATTCGAAATATCTTATATTGCTTAACTGGAAGAAAACTAGCAATGAGAGCCTGTCTGAGGAACTAGCTGCAATGATTCAGGATTTTGTTTTACTTCAGGTTTTTTCTTTCCCCTCTTCAAACTGACGGACAAATGATCAGCATCTGTTATTTCCAGCTGCTTTGACATAGATGCTGTTTAAGGTTGAAGAGCTGGATTCTGAACATTTAAAACCCAAGTTGGTATGAATTTTCTAGAGATTTGGGCCAATGTCAGACTAGACTCTAAATCTGGTAGGACTGATTTAGGGGAAGAATCTCAACTCTTTTAACAATATGTGATGGTGCCCCCAAAATTAGCCAGAGCACCCTGATTCCCTCTATGTAGGCCTAGAGAGTCACACCTGTAGGATTTGTGTTCATCTAAAGAACTGAAATTTGTCCTGCCCATGCTCTGCCAACCAAGTATGACTCAGCTCCCAACTAGAAACAAGATTAGCTTGAGCTAATAACCTTTACATCTGTCTGCAGGATACTAGTTTAGGAGCTTTATACACGTGATTCTGTGCCTTTGAAGTCAAAATTTTTGCAGCTAGTAACAAAAAGCACAGATCCAATCTTAAGTGTCCTGTTCAACCTGAGAATCAGCTGAACAGGGATACTCAATTGTCCTAAATTCAGTGGTATGTCCCAGCCTGTAAATCTTTTTCAGTCTTGTCAGCCGAAGCATTTGGGGATTCTCATAAATAATGTGAAAACCACTCTCCTTTAAAACCACTCTTCTTAAGGAGAATAACCTTTTATTTTAAACCTTGCTCTGCCTAAATTTGTATCAGCTAAAAGATGTGACCTTTGTACAACTCTGCTTGCAAAACACTGAGTTGGACCAGGCCATTTAGAGCAATCACTAAGAAATACCTTCCTTAGGTGATCTAAATGGGTTCGGGAGCTCAGGGTTTCTGATGGGCTTGTTTTTAAAATGAAACACACATAAGAAACGGAAAAGGGCTTAGTCAAATTGCACCCTATAGATTCCAAACTGATCTCTCAGGGCTATTGTAGCATCTTAGTTTAAGAGACATAAGGGCAACTCGCACTATGTGTTCTCCAGGATTACCAAACATTGTGCACTCATTGTGATGCCCAGGTTAGGCAGTACTCCAAGGTGGCAAGGATCAGTGATAAGAGACTGATGCATAATGATGCCCTACCAGAGGATGTAGAATGTGTTTGAAATGGCACATAATCCCCTTTTGGGGAAAGGAAAGAGAAGTACTATGAGTACAGTCATTATTCTGAGGCATGGGATGATTTCCTTAAAAGCAGCAGTGGGAGCTGCTGTCACTTTAGATGCATCAGTTCACAGAGGTAGAAAATTGACTGCTAGAGTTTGTAAGATCAGTTCTGGTGTTTGAGCTCCCACAAGGCCCCAAAAGCAGACTTGCAACTGCATTCAGGCGTCCTGAACCAGCAGCTTGTAATCTACCACCTGGGTACAGTGGGGTTTGGAGGTAATCACGCTCTAGCCACCATCATGTGCGGTGTCAACCTGCAGCTGAAATTGTGAGAAGTTGGCATTGGCTATCCCAGCACGTGAGGTGATTGGCAGTGACTCACAGGAAGGCTTTTGGGGAACAGCAGTTCTCCAGTCACTACAAATGAGCCAGTATTTATGCACTTTTCTGGATCAGGGACAAAGAGAAACTTGTGGTCTCACAGGCTATAAGTCTGCTGGTGGCAGCAGACAGGACAGGTGTGCGAAATCTGCAGTCTGTATTCCAAGCATGAAACCCTTTAGAATTAACTTATTTCTTCAAAAACAAAGCAGGAGTTCAAGAGTTCAGCCTTCATGCAATGTATGCTACCATGCACAACATATCTTTAAATCTCAGCAGCAAGACATTCACAACTGCAGAGCTTCTCTGTTTCAGAGTAGCCACTTTTATTTTAAACAGCATTTCAACATCACCTAACTTCAGACACTGAAGCTAACTTCAGCCCTAAGAGAAGTCAGAACATTTGTCTCCATCTGCAGTTCTTCTGGCTGGCCCCAGGCTTGATTTGCCTCCCAGATTTTACACTGCTGATATGAATAACCACAAATCTCAGCAGGCAAAGCCTTGACCACAGCGACCTCATGTTGACTTCAGTAGCACCTGGATCTCACCCAGCACATAAACCCATGCCAGTGTACACTGGAGGGGAGCTGCTGGACAGACATCCCTGGAGATGGTAAGCCTTCTCCTAGACCATACAGAGTCAGGGTAGCATTCTTCTACCTTCCTCCAAGAATAGGCTTTCAACTCCACTAATATGGCAGATTGTTTTGCCATCAAAGCACATTTATAAATCAAGATCGCTGGCAGTGTCAGCAAGTTGTTATTACAACACCACTTTTCTGCCTGGCTTGGGTATAAGGATTTCCCCTTCCACTTCAAATCATTGTGATCCACGGGTGAAAAGGACTAAGAGCTAACTGTTTTAATGGGGATGGTGATGACTGCCACACCAATGTGGAGGAAGCAGTTAACACCATGTGTTGAGGTATCTTCTGTGCTCTTAGACAAGATTCCTCATTCCTTTGTGGCCTAGAGATATGCACTGTGATAAACTCAACCATTCCTTTTATAAGGGACATCAAACAGCTTTTAGCAGATGGATGCTTTCCACTGGCTGTTTCCAACTTCAGGTCTGGAAACAGATACTTGCAGATAAAATGCTTTCAGTCCTATTACCCCAAGCCATCTGATTCCTTTCTATTCTGTGTTTCATAGTCTGAGTGTACACTTTGTGGGTGTCTTTTCATCATGTCCAAGATATTCTGAGAAACATTTAATATTGTTCTTCATTGCAAAACCAGTGGAAGATGTGGTTTATCACAGATATGAATGACAAAACTCTGCCTGGTCCAGCACTTCTGGGCTAAGCACTTGGCAGTGCAATGAAAACCAGACTGAAAAGTAAAAGATCTGCATGCACTCCCGTACCCCCTAAATAAACATTGCTGATATCTGAGTTATGCCAAATTGGATGGAATTGGAAAATGAAGCAAGACTCGACTTCTGTTTCTGTGGTCAGATGCATGTCAGGATTTTGCAAGCTGATTAAGGTTTTGAGAAATGGTAAGGCAGAACTTATTAGCAAGGGTTACTTTATGCCATCTCCAATTCCATGATGGGCAGGCAATATTTGCAATGCATTGTTCCTTTTCACTGATTTGTCTCAATTTTAGCTGGCTAAAAGTGCCAGTCCACCAGAAAGTGGAACCTGCCCGTTATTCACAGCCTCCTATGGGTGCACAGAGTATCATTAGAGTCTTCTCTCGGTGTATCTCAATGCTGACAAAATTAGGACACCTCTTTAGGCTCACCTGGCAATTCAACTTCACTGTCCATTCACAGAAACATTGTTTTCTTCACTGAAACTAACTTCAATGGATATTGTGGCCCTCCAGCTGAACTCATGTTCAGGCCAGCAAAAGTAATATATGGAATAGGTGAAATTTTGAGAATAGACAGTTCTCCTGAGGTTTAGGTGTAGAACTTCCCTATTTCTCATGTGAGGCATCAAACACCCACATCTGACTTTTGGTTGCTACTCATGTGTAACTGGCAGATACTGTCAACTTAAATGAAAATACTTGGGCATTTCATTAACAATCTTCTGAAACACTAAGCACAGTCACTTCTGAATTACTTACAGCAAGTCTGACAATTTGGCTCAAGGGATAGCGCAAAGTTCAGCAAAACCAATTATCTAAATTGTGATTTTGAGAACTCTGTCCAAATTCAAGCTGAAATATCAATTAGTGATGGAATTTTAATGTTGCCTCTGGCTGGATCTGTGATATAACAGTGATTGTAGAGTCATTTCCTTAGTAATTTCCTTCCGAAGACTAGTCTATTTCCTGAACTTCATGGGCATATAAAGAGGCTTGTCAACAACAAAGTCACAAACAATGCTGTTTGCAAGGCATGCTCTGGTCAAAGGCTGTGTTTTGTGAAGAAATTATTTCAGGATACACGACGCCTATGTCAGCAATGCATTCCTGCTGCTACACAGCAACAACTGAGTCGCATTGCTCACACAGTGATTTTACCAGATTCTTTCTCACAGCACACAATGACAAAAACTTTTAAGTTCACCTACCTTGAAAAATCTCCCTTTGCCTCCTGTAAAATTAAGAAGAAAAGTTAAAAATAGAAAAAAACTTTAAGAATGGCTGTTCAAGATTTTCCATTTGCAAAATTCATTTAGTAGCAATTTCCTGTTGTAATTGATTCCTCATGTAACTTTTGGAATCGGTATCTAATGTCAAGTGCTATGATACATGCAGTGTGCTGGGCAGATTAATGAACAAAAGGTTTGCCTAATACAGGGCTGATTCCTCATTCCACTAGTGGATACTCAAGAAATTGCAGGAAATAATGCTAGTAAATAAGTATTTTTGGGGTCAATGTGGATGCTACATTACTAGATCTCTGAAGTCTCAGTGACTTTGCAGCCTCTGAGACTGCAAATCCCCTGACTCTTTTTACAACTATTCTGATTATTTTTCTAGTAACTAGTCTTTCAAAAAGCCAGCTCACTGTCAGCCTTCCAGGAGATGCAAGACACAGGTTTCTCTAACTCCTTGCTGGGTGTTTGAGGGAGCATCTATCTCCCTTACTTATATATCTAGATATTACTAATTATTACTTTCACAGCCTGATGTTAAAGGGATAGGTAATATTCCACTTCAGTAGTTAAGTTAGTAGCTGAGTCTTACTGCATATCTGGCAAACCCTGAAAATCTGGTGAGTCCCCTCCTCAATAGATGTAACATACATTTTGCATTTTCCATAGGCAATGTGTATTTCATAGGATGCATGCTAAAGCACCTGATTTGACATCAGCTACACAGAAAGCACAGTGCAAGACTGTAATTTGTGCAGTGAGGGAGTTTCCACTGCCAAGAGGACTGGGTTTTGCATTCAGGTCTTTTGTCTTTATATCCACTCATCCACCCACAAAACCTGTCAGCCCATGTCCAGTGGTGTTTCAGTCCTGAGGCTGGGGTAAAGTTCAGAGCTTTGGTGGTGCTTCAGTTTGTTCTGGCAGCACAACAATTTCAAATAAGGATTCAGACTAAATCACTTCAGTTCTGATAGTCCTTTACTATCATCTTCCCATTTTCCTCTGAGTGAACTGAAGGGCAGACAAGCTTGCCTCTGGTTCATAGGAAGGAGTCCTTGAGCATATCATTATAGTTCAACACAGAGCAAAACCCAGAGGATATGCCCTTGGCCTGCACAGGAATGTGCATACCGAATTTAAAAAACAATTTTGTAGGGCAGATTCTCCATACTTCAGTTCTTTGACCTAAATGCTGCAGTGAGAAGTAAAACAAAATGCAGTATGATCCCTCTTGTTTTGCTTGGATCCTGTCACAGAAATGGGTTGTAGTAATTTCTGGTTACAGATAGCAGAGGTGTGGCTTGTTTTGACTGTTTTCATTAAGTTACACATCAAACTACTACAGGAATACGCGTAACATCCTGTGTTTGTGATGAGAAACAATCACAGCAACGAGGGTTGCAGTGGCAGATCTGGATCTGTCTGTACAATTACTAAGCGCTCAAGTTATTAATTAGGATGAGCAGACAATAGATTCATAACCCTATTGCTGCTTCTCACAATGAGCCTGTTGTTTGATGTGTATTCCCCCAACAGCCAATATGAGATTTCTATAATGTGCTTTTAATTGAGTCCCCCATCCTGACTTGCCTGCTTCATTTTTGTTACATAAAATTATTTTAATGAAGATTCAAATCCCTACGCATTAATTGATTCTTTAACATGGAAAGTGCTATAGAAGTGCAATGCATTGTTATTTATTAGTGCAGTCTGATGAGATAGCTTGTCTGCTCACACAGCTCCTCATAGCTACATGGCTGATGGTAAAAAAAATTAAGACTATACTGTATGAAAGGGAACAAGGATCATCTGACAGTTATTTCTGATCTGTTCCCACAGTCATGCTTCTAAAAAGAGATCTTTCACAAAAACCACCTCTGCTACCCTGAAAAGATTTCTCTTTGGAAACCAGAGATTTACCAAACCCTACTGGTATTTTCCTTTCTGACCCTTTCTGTCTTCCTGAAGAGGAGGACTTTCAAATACAGGTTTGTGGGTTTTTTTTTTTTTTTTTTTTTTTGGTTTGTTTGGTTTGGTTTGTTTTTTTTTATTCTGGAAAAGTTTTTTGGAAAGTCTTTAAACCATTCTGACCAAATTGGAGAATACAGACAGTTACATATGTAGAAGCTTATGGAGATCATCAGAGGGCCAAGATCCACTGGGAAAATAAATGCAAGTAAAGCCACTGGAGAAGAACCCATTGCATACGGATTTCACCTAGGAAATTGCATTCATCACTTAGATTTTCTCTGGCTTTACATTATAATCCAGGGCCTTGGATATTTGTGTCAGCACAAACACAATATACATTTATGTATGCAAAATGTTGGACAGTGGCATCTGCTCCATGTGTGGAAAGGTCTGGTTTGAGTGCCTTCTTTACCTATTTTGCATTGGTATAAATGAAGAAAACTGTGCAAAGACATCTTTCTCCTACAATTGGGGGAACCCCTACGCTTCCACACAGCCATTTTGGATTGGCAAATCAAAAGATTTAATGCAACATGAGGAAGCACAAAGTGAGAGAAGGCGGGTGCTTACCTGCAAGATGTATGCAGCCAGTTCAAACACCACTTCACTGTCAACCTCAATGAGTTCCTTGAAAGGTGAAGAAAACAAGAAACAGAGTTGAGCCTGGGCCCCTGTAAGAAGGACGTGCACCTCCTCCTGAATGGTAAAGCGTGCAGTGCCAGTTTTCTCCCCTGGCTAGGCTTCAAAGCATTCCCTGTGATCCTGAAGACCAAAGTGAGGGAGAACCTGCCCACTCAGATGTGGAGAAAGCCAAACATTCAAACATTCAGGCTTGGTAAATGAAGCATAACTGGATGTGGCATGAATGGATTCCTGGGGAGGAGGGAGGAGAAGGCAGGTGGAATGGGGAGGATCAGGGTAATTTTTATTTTATGGTGTGATTTAGTGAAAGCTAGTCTGGGAAATACATTTTTTCTACCCCAAATATCACCCATGCTTCAGGGGAGCACAGCCTTGTCCTTGGCCCACAGAAGCAAAGAAATGAGAAAATTTGTCTTCATTCAGGTTATGTCAAAGCTTTTGCAGAACTCCTCTGGCACTTGCTCAGGGTAAACTCACAGGAAAAAGAGTTATGTTCCCTCTTGCAGGATGGGAGCTCTGGTTTTAGCCCCTTCACCCCCTTGAGCACTGGGGCTGGGGTTGCTTTGAGAATGAGCTGTGACAGCAAATCTTTTGGTAGATCTTCACTGCGCCATTCTGTAGGATCCAGCCCCCAATGAAAGCAATCTCGGAGGGTCAAGTGAAATTGCAAGCATTTTGCTTGGACACCATGGTCACATGAAGGACACCGATGGTCCCATGAGATCCTCTCATGTCCTTCTGCTGTGCCTGAGATGGCAGTAACAGAACCAAGGGGTTCAGGCACTGCTCTGTCTGACTGTGTGGGATGCAGACCTCTCATCAAAGATGCTTGGGATGGGAGGCATGAGCATTTTAATCTTGTGGCCCTGAGTCTCTGGTCCCTGCTTTTGGGAAGATACTGTTTAGGCTTCTATTCTGCAACTAGAACTCCTACATTGTCTCCTACGTATGTGGCCCTGTAAACTGGGTCACTGTTCAGTTCACTACTGTGGTGGTTTTTCTGTTGTATTTATTTAAGCTGCTGTTTTTAATATTTTACTTCATCTGGCAAGAAACGAGTGATCTAAATATAGATCACTACTGTGATCCATGCTCCAGCCAAGTCATGGCCACACCTCATTTACAAGCCACAATCGCTGTGTTGGCTTGTCTCTGGCAAAATCAAAAACAAAGGGAACAAAACAGAGGATAAGATCCAGGTGTCCTTGGCTTTCACCAGTGCCAGCTTTTTAAAATAAGCGCTTCCTTCACCTCCTTCATAACAGCTCCTTGGGGAGTGAAGACCAGCTCTGCTACAGGCGATAAACACACCTTCCCCCGTTCAGCTAAACTGCCTGATTCACTCAGGCACCTGCACTAACAATGTGCATATGCCAAGGGAAGCGGCGGGTGCAAGACGTCGATTCAGCTGCAGGCAGGGCTGGGCTGAGGCAGTCAGGCATACCCCACAGCAAGGGGCAATGCAGAGTAGAACCAGTGCCTGGTCTTCCTCCCGTCTTGAAGCGCTAGGCATTGCATGGGCAAACCAGCTTCTGCAACCACACGCCGATGTTATGGCAAGTCCATACTAGTAGGTAAAGTGGGCCAGAGCCCATTCTCTGGCCCTGAGGGTACGAGGCATGGTATGAGGCTCATGACTAGACACCCTTCCTCCCTCCCCTGGTCTCTGATGGAGTTACCTCTGCTCTGCTGCCTCTTGGGAACAGGTGCTCATCCCTGAACAGTGCCCGAGCAATGCCTGGGACAGGACTAGTTGGCACAGGACAAAACCTGTGCCAGAGTGTGCTAGTAATTAAGCAGCCTGACTGATCAAGGGACAGTGCCCGATGCCAAGCCCTGTCTCGTTTGGCAGCTTGGCCTTTCTGGGCAACAGTAGCTTGCTGGTCCTGTGTAAAGGTTTGTGGGGGTGTGCCCATGAATATCTCATTATGCAACAGGGTGGGTGAGAAGGAGCAGTGGGCACAGCCAGACGAGTGCAGCAGCTAACGTAGAGCCAGCTGGCAACCCAGTGGACCAGCAGCCCCAAAATAAACAAGCGTCAGTTTTATTCTTTCCCAACTTGAGCAGCCCTGTACATGGTGATGTTTGCAGGTGCGTGTCTGGAGAATCAATGGGGGAAGGTCTGCTGTGCTAGCACAGCATTATATATGACACTTGCATCATACACAGTATGGTCTTTCTGATCTGCCAGGGAGCCTGGGGTGAAGGTGTCCATGGGAAGTCCAACTAGGAAGATTTTTGTGCAACATGGAAGCTTTCAATGTTTCGGAGCATGCAACACCACCTGCTAGCTGCAGGGGCAACAAGCACTGGCTGTGCGTAGACACTGAATTCCCCTTTCTACAACTAGAGGAATCCTTCAGTCATACCGGCTGGGTGCTCACCCTGCATCTTAGCAGAGACTTTTCACCCGACTTTCAAATTCAGCGCCTTTTTTAATAGCACATCTTGGCTTACTGTGGCTGAAGTCAAACGGGGAAGGACCCGCATGGGAGACTGGGAATCCAGCAGGGGCTATTTTTGGATAAAGATGACAGTCAGCTCGAATATGTGCAAAGTAATGGTTTTAGGAGAGGTCAGACAAAAATAGACCAACCTAGATCTGCAGGCACTTTTTTTCTTTTTCTCTTCTTCTTCTTAAGCTTTCTCCAAAAAAAGAACAACAGTGTAAGCTTTTCCTGGCAATACTTCAAAAAGGAACTTTCCCCAGGAACCAAAATGTGATGCTCACTGAGCTTGTTGCTGGAGAGGGCTGACTAAGCACATCTAATTGCAGCCTTGCCAGTGAGCAAAGCTCTGCACAGCGCAGCTCCACAGCCCTGCCTCTTTCCTGGGCACCGGAAAAAAAGGCATTTTCTGGCTTCTACCCTGAATTTTAGGAGATGCAAAGTTAGTCCCTGCGTTTTAGGACATGCAGATGTCAGGAAGTGAGGCTCCAGATTTGGTGTAAGGTAGTTGGCTTAGCAGGTCACAAACCTGCTGAGGGTTGTGGGACGGCGGTACAATCACGCCCTGACTACAGCTGTCTTTTCCTACCACTTCCTCCCTGGCAGATGGAGGTGAATCACTGGGTATGGCCTCTGCCAGCAGAGAGGGAGGTAGAAGGGATCCTCCCAGGGAATCCCAGCTGTTGTAAAACCTCTCCCAGTCCCACGCACCGAGCTGCCTGCTCAGTCTACCAGTCCGAGTCCACACACAGCCAGCCTCCACCTTGGCGGCTTCTGGGCCTGCTTCATCTTCTGGGTTTAAATTTCAGGGTTTGCTTCATTTCCTGGGCCCTGCCCTTTCACTTGTACCGTTGGCTTGCGGCATCGGAGCCATCGGCTTTGCAGCTCTGCCGTGGGCACTCTGGTGGGGGAGCCGTGTCCGTGCCAGGATGCCCTTAAGGCACACTGAGTGCCTTGCAAGGGGCAGCTCCGAGTTACAGCGCTGGTGACAGCAGGCCGGTGTTTTTAGTAGCCTATCAGGCAGGTCTATTTCTGGTACAAACCCCATTTCTTTCTGCACAGCTTTCCTGTACAAAGTGATCTTCAGTACATCCCCACAGGCACCCTGACCCCCCTCCTCATGCACATATGCCCACAAACTCATTCCCCTTGTTCTACAAACCCTCAGCCACAGCCTCGAACATGCAGTCATATGCATCCCTAACAGGCTTACACACATACAGATGCACAAGCTCTCACAGTCCCACATGCACGGTCACACACACCTCACACACTCGGCCCCCCCCATGCCTACCCCCCCACGCTCGCACTCGCACAACCTCACGCACTCTGACACTTCCCTGCACACTCTCACACCTCCTTGCACACTCTCACACTTCCTTGCACACTCTCACACCTCCTTGCACACGCTCTCGCACAAGAACAGCCCCACCGCTTCACCCCCCCACACACGCTCCCGCCCCCCCCCGCCGCCTAGCCCAGAAGATGGCGCCCGCCCCGCCGCCGGCGCGGCCACTGCCGCCCTCTTCGGGCGGGAACCCCTAACGGCATCCCCTCGGCCCAGAGCGCGCCTCCCTCAGCGTTTTTTTTTTCTTTTTTAACACAAAACCAGACATTTCCTTCTAAAACAAGCCAGTTTATCGTTTTAGCAGCTTCAGATTCCCTCTTGCCAACCACAAGAGTTACTTCCAGGGGTAATTTACCTCAGAATCTCTCTCCGACTGGGAAGCTGCTGCCGAGCACAAGGGTGGTTAGAGGAGTGAGGGAGGGTGGGAGGAGGAGGAGGTCGAACGTCGAAGTTTGGGTGTGATCAATATAAATTTGGGGCAGAGAATGCAGACCCAGGGGTCTCAGCCCACCCCAATGCTACCCAGAGCTCCCCAAGTCCTCACCTTGTAGATGCAGGACTTGGCGTTCAAGAAAAATAGCTCAATGGTGGCATTGTCCTTTAGATAGGAGATACTTTCAATGTAGAACCTGAAAGGGAAAGCAAGAGAGGTGAGACACGAGGGAACTAGGGCAAAACATGAAAATGCACTCATTATATGAAAAATGTGGTCAACAGAGTCATGTTAAGTATACTAAAAAGGAAGTTTCTTTGCTTCTGGCAGACTGGGGTGGTGAAAGAGACTTGTGCATGCTCCAGGATGTAATCAGTCACCACCACCCCAGCCATATGAAAGGAACTGGATCATCAAGTGAATGATTTCATTTCTAAAAAATCCTTTGTTTTGTTTTTAAACTTCAAATAATAGGTTTTTTTCTGTTTGCTTGTAAACTCCCCTTCATTCTCCATCCTATTTTGACATGTTTTCTTCACTCCTTTTCCTAACTTGCCCATTTCCGTGCTGTTGACCTGCATCTTGTAAAATATTCACTGACAGAAATCTACTTCTGGATTCCTTCCCTGTTCGCTTCAGCTCTGCATAAGGCAAATTTTATAAAGGCGTCTTTACATATTTTAGCAGCTAGCATGTAGCAGTGATGGCCGCAGAGTAAGCAACCAGCAATAGTTAAGGAACTTGCACAATTTAACAGTACTGTGAGTAGCAGTGCTGGGGATGACTGGGAATGCCAATAATCTGATTTGTTTTTCTGAGCTGAGATGACTTCTCAGAACTCAGTTGAAAGTTGACCAGCCCAAACCCTCAGTGTCAGAAAACCCCACTCTCATTGGCTGACTACCCCAAAGATTTGCAATTATGTTGAAAGCCCATGATATGTATGAATTAATCCAGTATTCCATGTCCTGCCTGCTTTGAAGGTTTGATTCTTTGGCAGTGAACTCAGTGAGACTTTTTCCACAGGCTTGCATCAACTCCAGCCCTTAATTCTGCCTTGTGACCTTTTGGGGAAAAAAGCTCAAAGTTAATGGCTGGTCATTATGTATATGGTACATATGTATGTTGTGTGTTCCTGTAGTGCCAGAGAAAGCCCGGAGGGGTTCAGTGAATGATTAGGGTGAATTTTGCATTTGTTTTGTGTTTTAAGTAAAGAAGAAAACCCTGCATCTACCTGCGCACCCTGTTTTATAGTGATCTTTAAGTACAGTGATCTTTAAGTACAGTGGCAGCAATGTTCCTTACATAAATTCCAGTACTATCGTGCCTTGTCAGAGGCAATTAGAATAGGGAAGGTGCCAGGGAAATGCTGTCTGCATCAGGAACTTAAAAAAATTAGATACTTTAGAAATCTGGGTAGAGACACGGGGTCCAGTTACAGAGAAACCTTACTCCCTGACCCCACTGCCTGGGAATGGAGCTGAGAGACCTGCTGATGCTCCCGGGGCTTCACACAAGCACTGGAGGGATTGTCCATGTTCTTCTGTTTGCAGAAGTGAGGGCTGTAAATGTAACCTGCCTTGGGGTAAAGGTCAAAGCTTTGTAGTGCTCCTGAGTGTCTTCTGAAGACTCTTCAAAACAGTTTATTTCCTGACAGATACAACCAACTACTTGCTTACTAGAGTGAGAGAAACATTTTGAGGTCTTCTTGTTCTTCTGCTGAAGTGTTTCTGCTATTATAAGCCCAAGTAAAAAAAAAAAAAAAAAAATTGACTATAGGGATCATGAAGCACAAAAATTAAACTTTTTTCCTAATTTGTTTTCTGGCTTCCACTGGGTTTCACCTCCTGTCCTTGAAACTGCCTCTTTTTTTTTTTTTTTTTTTTTTTTTTGGCAAATAAAAATACAGTTGGCTTTAGAAAAGCAAAAAAAGATGCTGCATTAAAAAAGGAACCTTCTTACCAGATCTGTTCTTTGAGTGCAGCTGGCTTTCCATCTGCTGAATTCATGGAGAAAAATGATAATTTTACACACTCTATGATTCTTGAAGAACCTCCTCTGCTTATTGCCACTACCAGCGCTCTCTAGGTTGTGATGGTAGAATCTTTAATTCCAGGGTCAGACAAAAACAGAAACATTGATTCCATTTTTGAATCCCAGTGAAGGTTAGACAAAATGCTTTTTGTTTCATCAGATCAAACAAGACCATCCTCATCATCACTAGAGGGCAATATTGCATTTCTTAAGGTTGCAAGGATCTTTTTGCAAGGCTTTCCACATAGACACATACACTGATCATGTTCTGTACAAAACTGAGTTTCTCAGAGCACAGAGCTTGCACATGATACTTCATCTTCACAAAGAAAACCCAATTCTCAAGTGATCTCCATAGTGGAGAGTGGACTGGGGAGCTACTGGCTCTCACACGTGCACCCAGACAAATGCAAAACTTGTGCACCAGGAAATTGGTGCTACTTAAAAGAAAGCAGATTTGCAGAGAGAACTCTTATGGGATTTTCTGTGTGGCAAGCTCAGAAAACCCGAACTGGAGCAGACTCCCCTGAATTCACAGCCAGTGCTGAAACAGAAAGGGGAGGGAGAGGCATGTTTTTTTGCTCTGATTGTGAATCAGACCTCCACCTTTTCCAAATACGGTGAAGGAAACCGCACTTTCCAATGACCAATGTCAGTGACTAAGGAGGCAGGAAGAAGCGTCCAGCTGCTGAGGCAATGAACCAAGCAAAAAAATCTGGGTTAAATTCCTGACTTGGACACGGGTTTCCTTCATGACCTTCAGAAAATCATTTAGCTGCTTCGGGGTATTGTGCTGTGTTTAGAAAATACTCCTCCCTCCTCTGCCCCTCTCTGGCAATTTTGCCTGTTAAGCTTACAAGCCCTTTCTTACAGCCTGTTTCAAGATCATCAGTTTTAAGGGGCAACTCTCAGATTTCTGTTGAAGACTCCCATGGGAGCAGCATTCCTCCATGTGTGAAGCTCATATATCCAGCAAATATGGATGGGCTGGACAGATAAACAGGCAGTACAATGTGTCCAACACCTCTGCCCCGTTACCCATATCTCTTGCAATACAGCCAACAAACAGCTTTGCCTCCAGCAGCTCCTACAGGAGGTTCCTTGATAGCCAGCAATTGTTGCTATGAGAAATGAGGTGCTCACAAGAAGGGGGAACACCCCAAAAAGACTTTGAGAGTGTAAAAACCAAAGAAATAATATGGGAAAAAGTTTAAAAGATCTGACAATGTTAATCTATTTCTGCATTCCCCATCTCTCTCTAATCCCAGTAATTTATAATTCATCAAGTACATCTTCTAAGCATTAATTAAATACACCAGTGAATATTACGCTGGGTAATGAACACAAAGCCCCTATCTTGACCCTAACCCTCTCAGCAGCAGGAAAATAATGAGTACTGCAGAAGGTATCTTGGAAGACTTCAGAAGCTACTGCATGTGAAACGTTTAAGACTTTTTAGCTGCGAGGACATGTCTCGTACTGTTCATATTGGTCTATAGTAAGTGTTGGTTAACTGACAACTTGCTGAGGCAGCTTAAGCCCCCTCACGCCGTTGATGAATGGCAATTCCCACCATAACCAGCTAAGCACAGACATTTAAACAGCAGTGCCTGTAGGAAGCAGCTGTGGAAACTCCTGATGCTTGGGTGATGGGAAACTGGCACTACTGTAATTTCTCCCTTGCATTACACACTGGCGCACCTCCGACTTGCAGCCAGGAGAAATGCCAGACTGGGACATAGACTCACCGGTTTGATTAATGGTTGTTCAGGTGATGGAGAATCCCTGACCACTGCTGCTAGACTCATATGTGAACCCAGTTGTGTGTGTGCAGATGGGCAAATTTAACAGTGTTGGGAAGGTGCTTGATCACTAGTGCTTCATCCTTGCAGTGGGGATAGGAGGCCTCAGGACTCTCAGGGAAATGGCCTCCAAAAGCACCTGAGCTGGTGGTGTGCTTGTGTGGACAGTGAGAGCTGAAATGAGCAGCATTCACAATTTCCACACACCAAAAGCAACTGTCAAATAAAAAATACTTAGCACTGCTTCTAACACACAGCCCTGGACATATCCTGTCAGCCTGAACTTGGCCATCTATCACCTAGCAGGGACCAGGCTCTGATCAGTCGAGTTCCTGACTGTGCAAATGTAGTGTCATAACATTTGGGATCACAAGCCCATGTGTTTATTTCCAAGCAGAACCTGCCAAACGGTAAAAATATTTCACTGTGGTCTTCAACACGATGGTATTTTGAAGCATGACCATAGCAAATGGATGACTTGTCTACTTCAGGTGTAGATCTGTCCTGAGGTAGTGATATCATCCTGCTTCTGTGATGTTTGACTCTGGTGGGAACCAGCTGGTCCAAAGGGCTTTTATCCAACAACAAAACCACTTTTTCGTCAACAAGAAACACTCCAACACTCCCTTTCTGGTGCCATGGTGTCTTCTTCCAAGGAAATTAAAAGAAAACATTGAAAGGGCTTTGGAAGACCTCAAAAAGGTTTCTCTGATGAACAGCATCTTCTTGAGGAGTGCCCCTACCAGAAAAAACTGTAATTGAAACTGGACCCCTGACTAGGACAAAGGGTCCGTCTGCCATCTGGAGAGCCCAGACCAGGCAAGGGCATAGCAAAGCACTGTCTTGCTACTGTCCTATCAAGCCTCACTCCTCAGAAGTCTTGCTGCTTCCAGCGGAAGGCGGTGGGGTGGCCACAGGGGCACCGGAGGCAGCTGGGCGAGGGCCATGCCAATGCGCGTGGCTCCGGTGTGCTGGTACGGCGCTGTGCGAGAGGGCTAGACAAAGCAGAGGCACGCGGTGCCAGGCAGTGACGGGGAGGCCAAGGATGGCACTGAGGATGTTTGCTGCTGGTCAGGGTGACCAGGACTGATAACAGTGTGGCAGTGGTTGTTGGGTGAGTTCCTGCCTTTTCCAAAGGGCAGGAGCTGGGGTCTCAGTATGGCAAGGGCGGGGTACCTTCCCTCCAGCCCTGTGATATTGCTTCCATGCAGGGGGGCTAAACACCCCTCTTGTGCCTATTAGGAATAGGAAAGCAGAAAAATTCCAGAATAGCAATCCCAAGTGGCTCTTCTCTCCCCTGGTGAAAACATTATTTTTCTCACGAAAAAGGAGAATAAAAGTGTAAAAACAGATTTCATGG